TATCTTAAATGCCTGAATTCACTATTTCTGTTCTATAATTTCTAGAGAATAAAAGTCCTTTAACTTAAAAATCATTTGACAATTATCTTTCTCATGCTAAAATAAAATTCTTAGGAAAAAATTTTTTTTGCATTATGCAGGTATTTTGAAAAACAGTTTGAACTGTCAGAACAAACAAAATTACCCATGTTTCTTCATTGTCGGAACTCACATGCTGAATTTTTGGGTGAGCTAAAGCTAATATCTCATATAAGAATTTGCAGAAATCAAGCTATTTGCTAAAAGGTGTTTCTGTTTTAAATTCACAGACATAATGAGAAGAAATAGAGATCGGTGTGTAGGTGGAGTGGTAAGTATAGAAATTACTTTTAATAAATGATGCACAAAAGTGCTTTGGTTATTAAGGTTGGCCACTATAAAGTAATTTAGATGTCAGCAATAAAGTTACTAAGGTTCTGCTCTCTCTTAAATTAATTGAGGGCATATAAGTTTACTGTTGAATCTATGGACCAGATAAGGTATAAATATAAACCACACTGTTTTAGTTGCATTTACTTTGTTCAGAGTACAAGAATTCTGTTCACAAAAAAATCCCATGAATTTAGTTCTACACCTTGTAACACTCTGCATGATCTTTTTCTCTGCTTCTTCCCTCAGCCATTCTTCAGTGTTTTTCCATTTAAATCTTGAGCAAAATATAAATTTAAGCACTGTTTTCAGCTCTTCACTAATTTCCTGTAACTGTATTTGTTTTGTCACTCTGATTAGAGACACATTGTCATTTCTGTAGTTTGCTTCTGTGAGCTGTGGTCATTCAATTCCATAAATATTATCTAACACTTAGCTTGGATATCCATAGCAGTGATTTTTGTTTTGTTTTTTTTTTGAATCATAGACTCTTTTGAAAATTGCCTCAGAAAAATGCTCACATGTACAATTTTCACATGTAATTTTAAGGGAGACTCACCAATCTGTAGCAAAGCTGTGATCCAGGTGTATGAAATCCCATAGTTACACTGTGCCAAAAAGGTGGAGCTGGCAAGAAGCACATACTGTATGCCCACATTACATTGCTTTGATAGTTTTGTGTATATCTTCTCAAGATTTCAGCCTCTGCTTCCTAGTTCATACTACTAGTGATATGCACGTTTTCTACACTACTGTGATGTTATCATCGGGCACATTTTCATCTGTCCTTTCAGTCGGTCAGTTCACTCACTCAGTTGTGTTCACCCCTTTGTAACCCCATGGACTGCCGCACACCAGGTTCCCTGTCCTCACCAACTCCCAGAGCTTGCTCAGATTCATGTCCATTGAGTTGGTGATGCCATTCAGCCATCTCATCCTCTATTGTCCCCTTCTCCTTCTGCCTTTAATCTTTCCCAGCATCGTCTTTTCCAATGAGTCAGTTCTTCGCATCAGGTGGCCAAAGTATTGGAGTTTCAGAGTTTCCGCTTCAACATCAGTCCTCCCAGTGAATATTCAGGACTGATTTCCTTTAGGATTGACTGGTTTGATCTCCTTGTAGTCCAAGGGATTCTCTAGAGTCTTCTCCAACACCACAGTTTAGTGCTCAGTTTTCTTTATGGTCCAACTTTCACATCCATCGACGACTATTTGAAAAATGATAGCTTTGACTAGATGGACCTTTGTCAACAAAGTAATATCTCTGTTTTTGAATATGCTGTCTAGGTTTGTCATAGCTTTTCTTCCAAGGAGTGTCTTAATTTCATGGCTGCAATCACCACCTGCACTGATTTTGGAGCCCCCCAAAATAAAGCCTGTCACTGTTTCCCCATCTATTTGCCATGAAGTGATGGGACTGGATGCCATGATCTTAGTTTTCTGAATGTTGAGTTTTAAACCAGCTTTTTCACTCTCCGCTTTCACTTTCATCAAGAGGCTCTTTAGTTCTTCATTTTCTGCCATAAGGGTGGTGTCATCTGCATGTCTGAGTTTATTGATGTTTCTCCCAGCAATCTTGATTCCAGTTGTGCTACATCCAGCCCTGCATTTCTCATGATGTACTCTGCATATACATTAAATAAGCGGGTGACAATATACAGCCTTGATGTACTCCTTTCCCAATTTGGAGCCAGTCTGTTGTTCCATGTCTGGTTCTAACTGTTGCTTCTTGACCTGCATACAGATTTCTCAGGAGGCAGGTAAGGTGGTCTGGTATTCCCATCTCTTTAAGAATCTTCCACAGTCTGTCGTGATCCACAGTCAAAGGCTTTGGCATAGTCAATAAAGCAGATGTTTTCTGGAACTCTTGCTTTTTCTGTGATTCAGCAGATGTTGGCAATTTGATCTCTACTTCCTCTGCCTTTTCTCAATCCAGCTTGAACACCTGGAAATTCTTGGTTCACGTCCTGCTGAAGCCTGGCTTGGGAGAATTTTGATTATAAAAGAGTCAGACACAACTTAGTGACTAAACAGCCAGGATAATACAGTTGACCTTTGAACAGTGTGGTGGTGGTTAGGGGCACTGACCCTGTGTGCATCTGATATCCATGTGTAACTTACAGTCAGCCCTATGTATGCGGGTTGCCCACATAGTTCTGCATCTGCAGATTAAACCAACAAAGGATCATATAGTAGTATTTACTGTTGGAAAAAACCAGATGTAATTGGACCTTCTCAGTTCAGGCCTGTGTTGTTAAAGGGCCAGCTGTAGTTTAAAAAAATTAACATCAACAACAATTCCAACTTGTTTGACCTTTATTAAAAAAAATTGCCAAATAATAATTTTCTACAGTGGTTTATGAGGGTTGTATTTCAAATTATCTTGGTGCTATCAGAGGCTCTGTTTCTCTCTAGTCAGCTGGAAATGCTGAGAGGTAGAACCAACCCTTTTGAGCAGCTGTGTTAAGTTTTATTTTTGAGAAACACATTATCCACAGTGTGTTCAGACTCCAGATGCTGTATTAACATGACATCACTTGTTTAAAGGAGTCATTTCACTTATTGTTTTGATTACACAAATAACAAATATATCAAGTGTGAACATTTTTGCTTTATCTTTGAAGGAGAAAAAGACCATCTTAATCCTTTTTGCTTGCTGAGCTGATATAGACTATGTAACAATTTACAATTTAGTGATGTTCTTACAATCTCTTTATAGATCTTAAAGTTTGTCTCTTAATTCTCTTTTAGGGAAAAAAGTATGCTCTAACAGGAAAATTGAACATCTACAATTTTAAAGTTATGTACATATCCACTTTTCCTTATGCCTTGCCTAGAATGTGGCTCCCTCCTCCAGTCCCCTTCCTAGAGGTACAGAGACCTCAGCACAGCCGTAGACAGAAATTCTAGGCAACCATCTCCTCCTTTCTTCATCACATTGGAGACAACAGTCTATAACTGTACAGTTTGATTTGAAAATAAAAACTGTAGTGGCCACCTTTGAAATCCCATATTCCAAATGTCCATATTGCATTTATATTTTTACTTAGCCTATTAAGGTTATTTAGGATTTTAAAGAAAAAATATTGTAATAAAATTGTGCCTTCATGTCCTTAGGTGCATTCATTTGATGGTACCAAGGAAGCAGCAGCTGCTTTGATGGACTTGGGTCTCTATATAGGGTTTAATGGTTGGTAGGTCCTTAAGTGCTTTTAACTTTTATATTAAGCAGATTCCTTAAATTGTTTTATAGTGAATTGCTGATAAAGATTTAAATTTGTTTTATTAAAATTTGTGTATGTGTATTGTATTGATCTTGGTCTGTGCATTTTAGTAATAAATGTAAGAAATAGTATGTTACTATTACAGATTAAAGCTTGAAAATTATAAACTGCTATCCTGTGTTCCAGTGATGGAAAAGTTTTTTGCTGACGTCAGCAGCTAGCTTTCTCTAGCAATGCAGTTTATTTTCAGATCATTTTATCCCTGTAAAACATGTATATGTTCTCAGCATTGCATATATATATACATAAGTGATATCCATCTATGAGGGAAAGGTCACACTATGACAGTCATCTTCTGTGTCTGTAGGCCAAGAAACGGAGACACAGAGAAGTTAGGAAACCGGTGTAAAGTAACTCAGTGTGAGAACTTTATACTCTTCCTCACTTGGTGACTTTCCTGCTTTTATATACACTTAAACTTCAGGCACCCAATGCAGTCCACTAGCATGCTGGGTCCCTGGGCTCAATTTCTTCCAAGTTTTTTAATTTGGCGTTTTTTACCAGTGTCTTTTCTCAGCTACCAGTATAGCTCAGTAAATAAATTGTGGAATAGTAAGACTTCCTTCCCCTCTTCATTGTTTTAGTTCATTATTTTTATTATATATACTTTTTTTTTTTTACTAAATTCCATTTTTGAAAATAGAAACATGAAATTATTTGTTCTAGAATTAAGACTTAAGTAAATGTTCTAGATGTTTCATATTTTAAATTAATTATTTAATTTTATAGTACATTACAGGTGGCTCAGTAGTAAAGAATCCTGCTGCCAAGCAGGAGACAAGGGTTTGATCCCTGGGTTGGGAAGATGCTCTGGAGAAGGGGGTGGAAACCAACTCCATTATTCTTGCCAGAAAAATCCCATGGACAGAGGAGCCTGGTGGGCTACAGTCCCCGGGGTTGCAGAGTCTCAGACACAACAGCAGCAGCAGCACCCTAAAGTGAAATTGTGGGTCATCACGCCCGGTTCTGGCCTGTCCCACAAGGAGCTTCCTGGAACAATCTCCATTCAGAGAGCTGGCAGTAAAACAGTCCTATTTACACACGAGCAGAGGAAACCCAACATGGGCAGCCCAGGCTTCCTTAAACATAACCAGGGGACCATCAGATAAGTGAGGTGAACCAGCAGAAAGAAAAAGACCCAGATAAACAGAAAAATTAACATTAGAGGAAACTATTTAGGGAAAAGCACTTTCAAGAGATCCTATAAAGATTTGAGATGTTTCATCTATAAAATATGAACAGAATGCTAAGGAAAAATACAAAAGTAAGAGCTTCTTAAAGAATAAAAAAAAACTTAAAAACTTTAATTTTTAAAAAAGATGAAAAATTAATGTGTTAAAAATAACAGCACCACAAACTTAGGTAATCAACACATTTAAAAGATTTTTTTATTTACCTCTACCACTGAGTACCTAATAGTAGACAGGAATTTTCTCTTTATACAGGTATTCTAGCTAATAAATGACAGACTGATGGAATTATAGTATTATCATTTTGCAACTCCTTATGAACTAATCAGTCTAGGCATTGGGGCATCCACATCTGACTTAAAGGACAACTAGATATGTGCTTCTGGACAGAAGATCATTCATACTACTACCTATGAAATTCTTGCAAAAAAATAAAATTCAACTTAAATCCGATCAAGATTGTGGATTGCACTTTAGAGCTCCTTGAAGAAATGCAGAGGATGCAGGACCCTGTTAAAAGACAACGCACAGATGAAGTCAAGACAGGGAGATTATCAGGGCAAACAACTGGTTTTCTTCAATATATTTCATGGGGGAAAAAAGATGCAGGTGAAGTTAATAGGTTAAGAAATTTAGAACACTGATGACCAACTGTAATATTTGTCCCTCATTTGAACCCTAGGTCAAACAAAAGAAGTAGGTATGACAATTTGAATACTAGATATGATGAAGAGTTGGATTTTTCTTAGACATAATAGTATTGTTTTTTAAAAAATCCTTATGCTCAGAGATGTGTTAAAATGTTGAATCCATACAACTTTCCTTATATAGGAGACAGTAGGGGTAAGTGGATGCACAAGATCAATCAAGAGTTGATAACTGATGGGGCTAGATAATAAATACAGGTGGAGAGTTCTATATATTCTAGTTGTGTATCTATCTGAAACTCCATAAATAGTTATGAGGTCTTGAAATAAAAAGTGCAACATAAAGACAGTATTAGTCTTCATCGCATTATATAGCAAACCATCCCAAAACTCACTGGCATATTATGTTAAACTTTAACACTCATGGGTCTGAGTCTGGTGGGGTTTAATTGATAATGTGAGCTCTCTGCCACAGGGTACATGTTGGGTTCAGATCTTCACCCTGTGTTTTCATTCCAGGTGCCTAGACACCCAGGTAACAGCTACTTGGCACATGCTAATCTCAGAAGATCCTGAGATTGCCATTGTAAATCATAAAAGTGCACTCCAAGCCTCTGGCCACATCCTGTTGGTCAAAGCCAGTCTTGAGGCCATGGCCAGATTCAGGTTCCTTCTTCCCACTAAGAAATGGCAAAGATGCAGATACATAATTCTGTCAAAGGAGAGAGAATTGGGACCAATAATCCAGTCTATCTGAGTCTGAAAATGAAAATTAATCCCCGAGAAAAAGAGGTATGAAAGAAGCAGGGACCTAGGAGACCAATTCAGGAGTCCTAAACTTGACTAATGAAAGTCCCAAAAGGAAGAGAGAAAATGAAAGAGTAAACGTCCTGTTTTTCCATGTTTTCCCTGAGTTAGGCATGGGGGAAAATCTCAATCAGAAGGTTCCAGCTGCCTAAATGGATGAAAATGTTTCATGCTTGGACACGTTACCAAGGTTCAGAATGTCTATAGAGGAGTGGAAGATCCTACAAGCTTCCAGATTTGGGAGGGTGAGGAATGGAAGGTGCAATGCAAGATCTTTAAAAGACTGTTTAACATAGACTGTTACAGAAAGTTATTGGATGATCAACTGATAAACATAAAAAATTTCATCCCCTGAAGTGAGATCTGCTTGGAACAGATCTTAATCTGGATCCTATAAGGACAGGATGTGCAAACACTTTTCTAAAGTACACTTCCACTGTAGCCAACCAAAGTTTTCCTTCAGGATTTTGGGTTAGTTTTGCAATCTGTTTTAGACAAGTTTATAGTATGAAAAAGTTATTCATTAAATACACTTTTATATATAAGTAACTTTTCTTTTTAAAGCTCACTGAAAACTGAGGCTAATTTGGAAGTTCTAAAGTCAATACCTAGTGAAAAATTAATGATTGAGACTGGTAAGTTTGCTTTTAGAACTTAATTTTCATATTAAACCATACCCCCAAGAGTCAGAGAAAAGTAATAACAAATATTTTATTTTGAAAAGCATGCTTAAACCTCAACAATTATACTTGTCAGAAAGTCTTTGGGGAGTTGTAACAGAAAAATATTCATGCAAGCGATTTTTTCAATCTAGAAGCTTGACTAAAAGCCTAAGCATTTAAAAATGCAGTGTGAGACTATGTGGTAACTAAGGAGATTATTTTATTAAACAAGAATGGATTCAAAAACTTCAGAATTTTTTAATACAATGGCTTAATTGTACAATACTTTTAAAGTAATGCAAACATTTAAATCAAATTGGGTTTAAGAATTTTAGAAATTAACCTGTTGCCTCTCAGAATACAAAGCTCAGAGCTAAGAATTCTGTCTATAGTCTGAACTCGAGGCTCTTCTTATACACATGGAGTTTTTAAATAAAGTCAAGACTGAGTCATTCTGAAGAAATCAGGTATATTTCCTTAGGGAAGTCATGAAAATTATTAATGGTTGTAAAATGTGTAAACTATTTTAATTCTTTATTAGAGAGTTAGGTAAGTAAATAATCCCAGTATTCAAAGCACAGTTGGGGACTTCCCTGGCAGTCCAGTGGTTAAGACTTCATGCTTCCAATGCAGAGGGTGTGGGTTTGATCCCTGGTCAGGGAACTAAGATCCTGCATGCCACACTGTGCAGCCTAAAAAAAAGCCACTGTTTTACATTCAGTAGAGGCAAAAAAAAGTGTTAAATGTTTTCATGTTACTACTGTATTTTATTTTAGCTTTAGATCATTTTTTAAAAGCATAGTTAGTGGGGGAAAAGAGTGAATAGAAGTTTTAAAAGAATTTGTACAGTTCAAGATTTCATCTTGTACTTTCTTAAAGCTGTTTTCTGTTGCCTTTTACCATTTAAGCTGAATCATGGCTTATATTTTTTAGAGGTTATATAATAGTTTGATAATATTCACTAAAAACAAAAATAATTTTAAAAGGTAAATCTCTTTGAGAATCTTTCTTTGCTTACCTTTAGATGCACCTTGGTGTGGAGTCAAAAGTACACATGCTGGATCAAAATATATAAAAACTTCATTTCCTACCAAAAAGAAGTGGGAAAACGGGCACTGTTTGAAAGACAGAAATGAACCCTGTCATATAATGTAAGTATCTTGTTTTCAGGGCCTTCAGAATATTAAAGTCAATCACCAACACTGTTTACAAAATGAATTCAAGGGACAGAATTAAAGTTAGATGAAATCCAAATGATGTTATCAAAGACCATTTTAATGCCGTGATTTGGAGGAATTTGTATCAGCTTGTCTTTTTTTTTTTCCCATACCCTCAACCCAAAGTGGTTTTACTATAGCAGTAAGAACTTTTAAGTGATTCTGGTCATCTGTCATTTTCTAGGGAGGGGGAAAGCTCTTAAAGCTCTCCATAGATAGAATTACCTTACCTGGCTTAAGTTCTGTTATCTTGCAGGTTTCCTGCTGATGATTATAAAAGCAATCTTAGCAGGAGACACAAATGATTTCACAGCTTGAATAAACTTAAGAAATAACACTGTTCTTTAAGCCTCTGAACAAAAGGACAAATATTAGAAAGGATTTCCTTTTTCCAACTGGAAAAAAGTGCAGAACTTTACAGAATTTTACTTCCTTGGGAAAGTCAACATTTGCAAACTGAAAAATTTTAAACTACATTTCAGAAATAAACATGCCTCTAGTCTAATGCTGAATACTAATTAGCATCTATTAACAGTTTTAATTTTTTGAATAGAGATTCCCCCTCCCCCCACTTTAGACTGTAAATTCCATGAAATACATTCTGGAGCTCTTGTCAAGTATCATGGGAGATACAGGTTACTGAGGCCACAGGAAAGAATCAAGACCGTTCCCACCCTCACCCCATCAGATAAGTAGGTGCACTGTGCCAGGCACTTTGGGTAAGGCATTAAACAAGCCTGACAAAGATCCTCCTGGAGCAAACAAGCAGATAGTAAGTATAATCCAAGACAGCAGTGCTGTTATGGGGTAGGAACACACAGGACAGAGCAGCTGCCTGCCCTGAGGGGAAATAGAGCACTCAAGTAACTCAAGTGACATTTCAACTGTTTACTGAGCTGAACTGGGAGTTAGGCCAGACGGAGATAAACACACAGCTTGAGTGAAGGCAGGCTGGGGAAGAGCTGGGAACAGTGACCGCAGTGTGGCAGAAAGTAGGATGCTCAGTGATAGGGAGGACAGGCCAGAGAGTGCAGCCCATGTGCCACCATCTGTGGTTTAGATTTTATCAGGACCCAAAGGATTTTAAGTAGGAAAGCTATTGAACTAGTATCAATCAATCCATGTGGAGAAAAGATTGGAAGGGAGACTGGTGGCAGGAATCATACTGATTTCTCAGTATTATGTATTAATTTCCAGTTCCAAGCAGTCTATAGAAGAAAACTCTGTAATTTGCTGAGAAAACCGGGTCTTTAGTGTCACTTTAAATGTTAATAGATTTTCTTTTAGCATATTTTGTCAGATAAAAATTTTCAGAGTCACTTCATTCAATACATGTTAAACAAAGCATCTGTCACTATTACAGAACTTAAAAGTTCCAGTTAATTGCTAATCTCTGTCTCTGATTCCTCTAGGTGTTCATATTTTAAAAACCCATAAAGGGAAACAAAAAGCTTAAGACAAAGAATATTTAAATGTTTAATTTGACTGAATTTTCTAATTCATGCATAAGAAATATTCTGTCTACATGCAATATTGCTAGAAAACACTGCTGATAATTACCATCATTCTAGGCAAAGAAAGTGAAAGACGGGCACCTTTCTGTTGCAGGGCAAAACCTACAGGAAGAGAAAGCGCCTCTCTCCCCCCGACCCCCAATGCACTTCCAAGTACCGTGTTCTAACTTCCTGCTGATGATGTGGCAGTTTCTTGCTGCCCTTTACAACTAGTTCTCTAAGCAGTGGCTTTCAAACTCTTGACTATCCCCACAATACCACACTGTGTGACTTGGTACACATTTGCATATGTAAATATAACCCAAACAAAAATGGAACACTATTTCCCTTACTAAATGCAAATGTACTTTTAATTTTTTAAAAGTTAATCATGACCCACTAATGTGTCATGACCCCCAATTTAAAAGGGCCCATCATTTTCACTGGTTAGTTCCACAGCTGTGGGACACATAATATGGGCTGGCTTTATAATTTACTTGAACCTGGTTCCTGGCTCTAGTTACATGCAAGATTGTCCCAGAAATTTATTTCTAATTGCTTTGTTTTAAATATCCTAGCAGTTAAACTTTTCTGTTAACACTGCTGAAAACTTTAATACATACTGTTAGGCTTTTTATGCTAAAGATGCTGAAACAGTATCTTTTCATTTATGTGAAAAAAGATAAATATCTTTAAAACAGAATATTTACTTAGAAATTTAACCATCTATTTTTGTTTTGTTTTAGTCAAATACTGGAGATAATGTCAGCAGTAAGAGATGAAGATCCATTGGAACTAGCCAATACACTATATAACAACACTATTAAAACATTTTTTCCTGATATGTAATTGATATGTGTCTCCCATTTTCCCACCATGTATATAAAATTTCATGATAAAACTTAAGTTTCAATAAAGGAATTCTCTGGAAGTTGTCTAAAGAGGTATCATATCACTGCATACCACCCATGAAGTCAGATCAGAATTTTCTAAAATCACTTAATTTTGGTTTAAAATAGTGAAAACCCCCCAAAGTATTTCATTTTGTAATCTCTTTAAAAGTTTAAAAGGACAATATTATGACAATGCTGCCAACACAGAATGGCTAATAAATATACTGATTTTTACATCAAAATTAAAACCATTAGCACATCCTGGTTTATACCAAAGATTAGTTGCTATAAATAAGCTTACTTCTCAACTCTCACAGTCTCTGATCTGAATCATTACTCTGAAACCCAGCTCAACTACAATGCTAATCTCGTGTCAAAAAAGTCTCAATCACTTCTGACAGCCTATTTTCCCCTTAATTGCAAAATACTCTACATACATACAGAATTTATCCTCTGGTCCAAGTTGTTTTATTTCCTTGATTTAACATAGTTTCCCCTGATTTGCATTTTTATTCTCTCGCACCCATTTTAAAGAAAAACTAGGGTCCCGAGTTGGATACATCACAGACTTTCATTGAGGAATCTTTGGCACAGTTGACGCACCATATTATTACATCTATTAAAAAGTTATTTGTTCAAATTTGTCATAAAAATGTGAAAACATTTTATTCTATGTACAATAATGTACACAAATTTAAATAGGTCACCAAAGAGACCAGAAGTAATTAAAGAGGTATATTTACAGTAGCACATCACAGTAAACGGAAAACCATTCACAGATTCAACACTGATACTGTTTTTGTGCTTGGTTACACTGAAGTGAAGCAGATTACTCCATTCTGGATGAACTGAATTTTAAACGAATACCTCAATGATCAGTAAATGCTATTTTAATCAGTATCGTCATCAATCAGTTCTTCAGCTGCTGTGCCTGTGTGCTGAATCACTCCGTTTCTTTCTCTCTGAGCATCATCATCACAATCTGTACTGTCATCTTCATTCAATTCCCTGTCAGATTCGGCAGCAGCTTCTTGTATAGCTTCCTCTGGATTTTCATTGGGTGCAATAAATCCATTGTTGTTAGATATATTTGTGTTATCCTTGATATCATCTTCAATGTACACTTTTTGATGGCACATTGGACAAGTATCTTGAATGTACAGCCATTTCCGAAGGCAAAGTGCGTGGAAATAGTGATTACACGGTGTGATACGAGCAGATGTTGTAAACTCATGATAGCAGATTGCACATACGTCATCTATTTCTTGTAGGCGGCTCCCCTTTATTTCAGGAAGTGAATTAATTTTTTTTACAGCAGTTCTACGATTCATGAATGTCTTCCAGCCATTTTTCGCTTGTAAGTAGATGTTAAAATAGGCATGTAAGCACATCATACAAGCCCGGATTTTACTTCCTGACTCAAACATCATAGTATAAGCCCCATTTCCAAACATTACTACTCCAAATATAAATTCAATAATATTGCCTGTTGAACGAACATAGTAGACATAATCATCAAGCTTTTCCCAGAGGACATTATAGTAGCCATCAATCATGAATAACGTATAAACAGTGAGAGAAACTATTACTTTTAAGCAGAGCTCCACACAAAAGGCTGTAACGGCAAATAACCATGTATTTAGTGCATAGTGATGCCAAAGAACATAACTGAGTATAACAGGAAGAATAAACAGGCAAGCAGAAACAAAGAGCACAGGAAAATGTCTACGAAAAGATGACACATGAGAGGCACTGAGCGACATTAATACGGGGTCTGTCATTCCATGGATGAAATGCAGGACTGCTGTTAATAAAAGGCACATGTTTCTGCTTAAGCGAATAAGTCTCTCTTCTGGTCTTAGCCCACTTAAACCAGTCTGAAGAGCTAAAATGAAAAATAAAACAGGTGCTACAAAGCCAAGTCGCCTGTCGTCTTCTTCAGTCGATCCAATGAAGGCCAATATTCCAAGACCCAAGTAGTGGGCTACTGAGGAGATGACAGCACTCATGCCCAGGACAGTGAGTGTGGAGTCACATCCACTAATGATAAGGTTGCAAATGAGGTCCCAGAAATCATCCCAAGAAAGAAAGAAGGAATCCGTTTCATTAGCCATTCTTAAAATGTATATTAATACTGTAGCCTGAGCTGTCATTCTTGTTAGCCAGAAGACTCGCAGGACATCTGGAAAACGAATCCTCTTCCAAGTGTCCTCCATTAATAACTGTAATCCATAAATTCGATACATGTGCCTCACTAAAAGATAAACGTATCTTGTGGAATAATAAAACCACTTAAGTTTCACTGCCAAGACAAGCACTGTATTTAATGTGAGAATCAAGGAAGAAGTAAAAACTAAAGTCTCTCGGATGTGTAATGGTAGTTCTGTGATTAAGCCTATTACAGGAACCAAGAGATCCAAAATAATTAACTGTGAATAGATGGAATGAATTTGGAGTAGTGTGATGTATCCAATTCCAAATGTTAGCTGTAGAACAATGAGTGCCATCCACAGCGAGGGCCCTTTTCGAGGAAGCAGCTCAATTCCAAAAGCTGATGTGTTGTAGGCACCATAGAAGTCAACGTGCAAAGCAGCATAATAATTTACCAACACTGAAGTCGCAGCTAATAGAAAGGCTGAGCTGTACATGTAAAACTTGAAAAGTGATCGCTGTGACAAGATCAGAACAATACTGGATACAAATATACCTAAAAAAGAGAGAAAGAGGTCATTGGAATGAAACTTTGTCAAAGAATGTTTTTCCATTAAAAGTTAAGATATTCTTCCTTTAATAAGGATGAATATTTACAAACTGATGAACAGTATGCCTCAAGACAATTTAAAGGCCAATAAGTGTTTTGTAAAATCAGAGTTCAACAGGACAGATCAAACATATCCTTAACATCTTACTCCTTATTTTCTAATTTTCAAAGTAATTCAAGTAGCATTATATCTCCAGAAACCAAATTACTAAAATATTTCCAAGATGAGATTGTTGTGATTATACACAGTTTAACAAGTTTTAAACTTGAAAGAATGTATACTGTAATTTCAAAATTATTCAAAAACAGTTTTCTTAGATACACCTGTCATTTAAAAGTGGACATTTAATTTCCAAATACATGGGATTTTGTTTAAAGTATCTTTAATATTAATATCTCATCTTGATACCAAAGCATTTAAATGCTTTCTTCTCTGAAATTACCCTCTGTGTTTTTTTCAGCTTAACTTTATTGAGGCTTTCAATGGGTAGGTGGAAGGTCTCTCCAGGTGAATGTCACATTGCACCTGAAAATATGTGTTATTTTCAAATATCCCTTGATACTGATTTCTAACATAATTCCACAGTGATAAGAGAACAGACTCCATATGATCTCAATATCTTTGGACCATGAAATTTCTGCACCTTGTTTTATGCCCCTGGATATGTTCCAGTGTCTCCTAGTTTACAGTCTATGGGAACTTAATAGAATTTGTATACTATTGTTGTGTGAAAACTGTATAAATCTGAATTATGTTGAATTAGTTCACAGTGCTTTTCAGGTCTATTATATCCTACTTCTCTGTATACTAATTCTATTAATTTTTGAGAGTTTGATATTGAAACTCCAACTAAAAATCTTAATTTATCTACTTAAAAAATAATTGTAATATGTAATTGAACTATATATAACCTTGTTTTGTATTTTCCAAGTCTCCTGTAAATGTGTTATCACACTTTGATAATGTAAAAAAATTTGAAGAAAACCTTAAAAAAAGTTAAGATAATTTCATTACAAAAACACTAAAAATAAGCAAAATGGAAAACATTTATTCCTATTAAATCTGAGATTTTTCTTAAAAGTGCTCTTTAGGATGTCAAGTTTAAGTTTTACATTTATAGTTACTCCTATTTCCTCCTTTTACTTAAACTGTGAACTCCTGCTGGCTCTTATTTTTCCTGCTGCTTAAATCTGAGAATTCTTCCTTGGGTCCAAATTCACTTTCTGTACATACTTTGCTACAGATACCAAACATGTCCTCTAAGTTTCCTTTCTCCTTATGTTTGAATCTTTTTCTTCAAATGGGTGGGTGTACCAAGTTGCTTCAGTCGTGTCCAACTCTTTGTGACCCCATAGACTAGCCTGCCAGGCTCCTCTGTCCATGGGATTCTCCAGGCAAGAATACTGAAGTGGGCTGCTTTGCCCTCCTCCAGCGGATCTTCCTGATCCAGGGATCAAACCCGCATCTCTTTACATATCCCAGCATTGGCAGGTGGGTTTTTTGTTTTATGGTTTTGTTTTTGTTTTTGTTTTTACCACTAGCGCCACCTGGGAAGCCCTTTCTTCAAACAGTCATCCTTCTGATTATTCTTCAAACTAAAGTAGCATTCAGAAAACCAAAACGTATTTTAGTAAGTTTCCCCCCCTCCCCAACTCCATAAGCACCAATATACAGTCTCATATACACACACCATCTTTCTTGGTGCTCTGACAAATTTTTAAGTGAGATTACAATAAACATTATTATCCAAGGTTTCAACTACAGAAACCACATCCAAATATTCACCTATTTCTACTTCTGCACTGCAACTACAATACTCAGAATTTCTAAAACCTAAACCTAAACTCACCTCAAACAGCTCTTCCTTTCAATTTCCAATTTCAGTCAGAGATACCATTATTATTCTTTGAGCTGTACCTTTAGACCCCCATCCTCAAACTCTGATATTAGTGACAAATTCTACTAATACCTATATCTCCCTTTTCCTCAGTGACACCCATCTATTAGTCTGTCTCAAAAACTCTTTCATTCAAATCCAACTACAAGCCACCAAATTGCCTTTCTTCATGTCTGTGCTCAAAATACTGCAGCAGCTCTTACAGATTAAAATCTACAGGTCTTGTTCTAACATTCAAGGACCCAGTTTGCTATAAAGTATCAATAATGTTCCTCTCAACACAGGAACCAACACTTCAGATTTCTTTCCTAAACACACCCCTTCTTCTCTGCTGTAATTACAGTTGTATATTTACATTCTTCTCTTTGCCTAGCAGGATGGCCCCATCAACTTCCCAAATCCCTGACTGTCCAAATCCTACCCTTCCTACAGGCACTCAGACATTACCTGATATTGTAGTTTATAATTGTGTGTGTGCGCTTAGTCACTCAGTCATGTCTGACTCTTTGTGACCCCATGGACTGTAGCCCGCCAGGCTCCTTTGTCCATGAGGATTCTCCAGGCAAGAATACTGGAGTGGGATGCCATGCCCTTCTCCAGGGGATCTTCCCAACCCAGTGATAGAATCCTGATCTCCCACATTGCAGGTGGATTCTTTACCAGCTGAGCTACCAGGAAAGCCCCAGTTTATAATAACCTGACCCTAATATATAATGTGTCCTTGATAGCAAGCAAGGATCTGAACTTTTACATCTATGGATCCCAAAGTATTTTGTAGAAAATAAAGTCCAATTAGTATTCACTGGGGAAATAAACATTTCTGTTGAATTCTGAATTATATTTTTAAAGGCAACCATGAAAGACAGCCCACTTGGAAATGAAAAACTATGACAAGACAAAGCTGAGAAATCAAGCCATGGAGTACAGAAAAAGTGACAAACTCCAAACTAAACATCCATCTCCCCACGTGACTTCAGTATGTAACCAAGACTGACAATGCACGTTACAATAGAGGTGTTTCACAACCCACTGCAGTCAGAGAAGCAAGAGCCAAGTTCCTCCAAATGATGACTGCCCACAAATTTTATTTTGGGCCAATCTGTCAGGTCATTTGTGAGAAACAGAACAAAAGGGAACAATCACCTGGAAGGTAGATACATTGACCTCCGTGCAAGAACTACCCGATTTGCTGAGCAAGTGGACCACTAATAATCTCCCAAAACGCTGTCAGCTGGGAATGGCCCTTTCAATAGAAAATGGGCTTTTTTTTTTTTTAACAGGATGAGAAACCCCCTACCATGGGATGTAACAGAAAATAGAATTTATTCAGCCACCACATGCCATATGTAATCTTACTTTCTCTACACAGAAAAACAAAACTCAGTAGTTTTCTCCTGAGACAAAACTTAATCTAAAATAAGTCAAAATTAAATCAAGATAACTTCAGTTCTACTTTATGCCACTTTTTAAAAAGGAAGAGAGTTAAGTAGGAACTGTAAATTATTTTTAACTTGCTATTCACAACATGGTAAATTAATCTTTACCTGTCAATATTCATGAATTTTGCTATAACTTATAACCAGACTTTATTCGAATAGCTTTTTCCCCACCACTAAAGCTTATTTTTACATACAGACTAAGGAATGATTTGGGTTTTTAGAAATACTTCCAGATAAAAAGTGCCATTTTGCTTTCTGCAATGTACCAAAAGAAAAAAAGAGAATATGACAGGCAAATAAGGCAGTGAGACTACAACTTCAAAGACTGGGTATCTCCTTGTAAGTAACAATCTTATACTACTCTTTCCTGATCAAAATCACTCCCCAAGATTTAATAATGACCAACATTTCCTGATGGCTCAGTGGTAAAGAATCCACCTGCCAGTGCAGGAGACACAAAAGACACCGGTTTGATCCCTGGATCAGGAAGCTCCCCTAGAGTAGGAAATGGCAACCAGCTCCAGTATTCTGGCCTGGAAAATTCCACGGACTACCGTCCACAGTCCATGGGGTCGCAAACAGTCAGACACAACTGAGCACATGCATGCCACCACAAACATTTCGAGAATAGTATAACATGATTTTAATTCTCACCCAAAGTTTGCATGCATATGAGGTTCTTAAATTTTTCCTTGATACTCATGTTCCTGTGTATGGAATACAGAATCGGCTCTCATTTTCACAGGAAAAACGTAAGTCAACTTTCCAAGTCTCTCAAGAACTCTTCCCTCTCAAGGCCTTCAGGAAGTGTTGTCAGTAACACCGAAGTTTTGTTTCATTTTCACAACTCCATACATTTCAACTCTTGATATTTAACCTGTAGGCCTAAGAAAATTTAGCTCCTAGACAGGAGTCCTCATTAGGATTTAAAAGTGACCTGCAATAAGTAATCAAGGCTATATATAAATGCTGCTTTACAAGGAAAAATCACCTTGGGACAGTGGCAAATAGAACTATCATCACAATTTAGGGATCTGGTTCTCCAGTGATTAGAGTTTTACTAAAGTGTTCAAGGCAGGAAAAGAGGCAGGAATCCGAATCAATTCAGGTGCTCTGAAGCTATATATGAATTCAATTCATGAAAGAGTTCAGGGCCTTTTCAATTTGGATTACCAAAAGTGAGCAAACAAAACAAGCAGACCAAAAAAAAAAAAACAAAGCCCAAACAAAAAAAAACAAACCACCATGTACATCATACAACAAAATGTTTAACTCTTTTATGTGTAAAGTCCATTCACACCATTAACCATTCTGGAAGTTTGGGACTAAAAACTGGAAAGAAATAATAGTAATACAACTCCCCAGGTACCTTCAATACCTTTAATATATAACCTAAAGCAAGCTGTGGAAAAACATTTCAACACCTGACAGAATAAAAGTGAAACAATAGTAAAATAAATCTTATAACTGCCTTATTACTCCCAAGGGAAACCTATGCAATGAAATGTAGAACAAACAAAACATCTTGAAATGTTAATCTGTAGATGTACCTGACAAACTATAGCATAAAAATTTTTTTCTATCAAACTTTTTAAAAAAGATACTTTTA